AATTTAATTAATTAATTAATTTAATCTATCTATCTATCTATCTATCTATCTATCTATCTATCTATCTATCTATCTATCTATCTATCTGTCTGAAGCAGAGGGCAGCTGCAGATTCAGTTTCAGCACGACAAACAACGAAAATTAATTGTGTAATTTAACACATTATTTAAAAAAAAAATTGAATCTATTATAGCCACTTTAACCTACAAACAACATCACTATTTAACATAGTCCTGCTCGGAAAGTGAAAGAAATATGACGACACATTGACAGGTGTGTTTCGTGTGTCTGTGTAGTACCTGTTTGGATCCCTGTAGGTCACTTGTGGTCTCTGGTATGAAGAGGAACGTGTACTCCGATATCAGGCCTTCCTTGACCAGTGTGTGCAGCATCAGGGCTGAGGGACAAGGCACCATGACAGGAATAAGTTCAGGGTTTACACATTCTGCGACCATTATTTTAATCTTAGTAACAGCTATAATCACATGTTTACACTAACTACCTTCTTCAAGTTTCTGTATATCACCAGTGCCACCCTGCGGGCCTGGCACCAGGATGACCAGAGGCAGCGGGCAGTGCCAGGTGCTGGCCTGCTGCAGCTGTTTGAGCTGAAGCAGGGCTGACAGCAGAGGTACATCCTGTTCGTCTTGCCCAGGCTCAACGATGGGGAGGGCGGGGAGCAACGTGATCAGAGCTCCTGTCCCATGGAGCTCACAGCACTCCTCCATTTTGGACAGGCCGTCTTCAGTCAGAGGGCCTCGGGACGCCTGGGAGACAGAAGATCCCGTGTTACACAGTTCTGAGGCACGGCAGTTAATATCTTCATCAATGCCAACATGGGGTATTAATACAGGACTCATTCTTTATTGTACATTACATCTATGAACCCCACTGTCTTAAAAAAAAACTGATTTGTTTGTCTTTTCTATGCATTCGACTGCCATTGTTCATATAAGCTGCAGTCTGATCCTACCTTGACGCAGACGTGGACTTTGTGAATGTGGTGTTCTTTTTCCTGGAGTGAGTTGGTGACACAGAGAGTCTGCAGTGTCCCGTCAAGCTGCTCCTCACTTGGCTCTGACCCCTTGCCACCACTAAGCTTCACCTCCAGCCAGTCTGACACGATCCTAAACACAACAGACAGGAGAGGACACATTCAGTGAAAGGTCCAGTGAACACTGGGGGCCTCCAATGACAAGAGTTTTAATTAAACCTTGGAGGTAACCACACTTCTGCTTGTCGGTGACCTTTTGTCATACGTCAGCTGCTTACCTGTCTGACAGGCTCGCCACACTCTCGTGGTCGCTCGGCAAGAGGAGAACCGCTTTCCAGAAGATTCGGTCAGGGGGGTTGGAGATATTTTCTGTCACTAGTGCTGGCAGGTCGAGAGGTGCCCACACTGTCTCACTGAGAGAAACACCAAAAAGAGGTCAAAATGCTGCATTGAGAGATGAATCACTGACTGAATAAACATACTGCTGACTTACTCAAGCAGGAGCTGATAGTAGTAGTGGACTCTCATCTGGTGGATGACTTCTTGTCTCATTTTCAACAACCTTGACAAAATACATAACATGTTACTGGATCAATTAAGTGATAGAGTAAAAACAAAAGTGATTTACCCACAGACAACATGCTGCAAACATATTATGTATATTATGTGTATGAGTTGTAAATCACATAATAATGGAGTGGAAAACATGGTGAAGTATCGTATTCACTTGTGTATTTCAAAGACACACTTAGATAACGGCGCTGGAGAGGAGCATACCTGGTGCTGGAGAGGGCCAAGGTGCCGGAGTTTCCCAGGTTGACCACACCACGGGCCAGATCTGCAATAGAGGGCTGTGCTGGGGCGCTGGGAGCCAGAGCCTTCAGTTTGAATCGAGGGTCCACGCAGCAAGGAGCTGCAGGGAAACCTCTCATCTGTCTCTTTAGCTGCCGACGTACTGCTACCACATCACGCCACCTAGTGATACAGATAAGGAAATGTAAAAAGGATATTTAAATGTATTCTGCCGAAGTTAGACTGACCTTCTTGGTTTTCATTACGGTGTTAAACCTTAGCTTATGATCTGAATGTTTGTCTGGCTTTGTACATTTTTTCTCTTTCTTACCTTTTGATATACTTGTGGATGCGTTGCAGCTCAGCTTCAAGGATATCTTCAACTAACAGAGCGATGTCTGCATTCAGAGTCTCCTCAACGAGACTCGTACAGACCTGTTCTGTGCATTTAGCCACACGGTCTGCTTTCTCATTCACTGCCCATCTGAAAGGTAGTTTTAAAAAAGTGTCATTCAGTGATTTGGGAAAATAAGTATGCCACTTGAAAACATTAAACTTAACTCTACTAGGCTTCTTCATTTCTGAAAACTTTACACTCGACCAGATTATAATTTGGAGGAGTTTAATAGCCTTACTGGATCTCAGAGGTGGCGGTCTCCTTGATGGACTCATCCAAAACTTCATAGATGATCTCGGTGCAGAGAGAGAAGCTGAAATTAACCAGGAAGGCCTCATGCTCCTGCCTCCTCCTGGCAATGACAGACACGGAGAAGGAAATTTGGGGGTGAGTTGTTGCAAATAAGGCTAATTTGATACTCGCCTTAAATACTGGGATTATGATATTATGATACAGTTTAGATGAATAAAACATTTGTAACCTCTACATAAAATATAAAAAACCAACAAAGCTAACAAAGATTATTTTGTGTTCTGTGTTTTGGGAGACGTTTTCCCCCCTACTCAACCAATCTGAGTGTTATATATATATAAAGTACAGTGTGCTGTAATCAAAAGGTCAACGGGTCAAACCAACCTGGCTTCTTCAACCTTGCGTTTCTCTTCAGTAACACGCTCCTGTTCCAGCCTGATCTCAGTGGAGGACATCTCCTGCAGCATCTGTCCCAACACCTCACTCACCAGAGTCTCTGCCTGCACACTGCTCTCCCTGCAAGTCAACGGAACAGCAAGTTAGTCATCTCAACAATCAGATCTCGACTCCCTCTACACACCGTAATCACATAAATTAATGCTAACTGCAGGGAACGGAAGTAAGCACATGATTTAAATGTATCTATCGTAAACGAGAAAAGCTGGATGGAGGATCACTTGAACTTACGAGAGAGCTGTGGTGACGTAGCTGGCACCAGCGTCGGCTACCTCCCTCACCGCTGCTTCGACTACCTCTTCAATCACACAGTCTAGTACCGCCGTAACGTCCTGCAGGAGCGACGGAAAACAGCACAGTTCAGTGTTAATGAGCTGTAATTAATACAGAATGAGCCCTCTTATATTATATTTAAGGCTGAAACTAATTGCATCTAATGGTTATAAATTGTGATGAATTGTATGAAATGTCAAGAAGTCCAAAAAGGTACCATCTGCAGATTGCTTGTTTTGAAAGATTCAGTACAATACAAAGTTCAGAGCATGTGAAGTGGTCCTCGACAAGAAGAGATCTCGCTCACCTCATTGCTGTACACTGGCTGAGGTTTGGGTGGAGGAGATGCTGATTTGACAGGCTGAGGTTGAGATATCGGCTGGAACAGCTGCTGGGCGTCCGCCGGGTGGGCCGAGCTGTGATACGGTTCGCTGGGCTCTCCGGTCTCATCGGTAACAGTCGGAGGAATCCCAAACGCGTGGGCCATGCCTTGGTCCTCGACCGACACGGCCTGGGTCAGCAACTCAGCATTCACCTTGGCAGCAATAGCTGAGACAATGCAGACACATTTCAGCTTTATTAAGGAGTCGGATTCACTACATACAGGCTTCTTAGAACTCCAGTCGCTCATAAAAGAAGTGTTTTCTTTCTCATAAAAAAAATAGTTCCAGCAGCTCGACGATGCAGCATATAATGGGTCAGATAAAGTGAAATATTTCTATACTTCTGGGGCAAACATCAAGACCTGGAAATAATATCCCAGCTCTACATACAAACAGTACGGTTCAGGTTAGCTGAAATGAGTCGATATGCACTGTAAGTGGAGAAAAACAGAACATGAAATGGGGTGAATACCTTTAAACTGGCTTGCAGGGGGTTCAGCCAGAGGGCCTTCCCCACGGTACTTGTTCTGGGAGTCAAAGCTGCAGACAGGGTTGTGCTGGGGCCGAACAGGGAGGGGGCCTCCATTCACCACCTCTCCAATCAACACTGTTTTCTTTGAGAGGATGACCTCGGACTTCTTCTGGGACAGAGGCAGGTCTGGCTCCTGATAGGCGACCCGACTCAGCTCTACCAGACTGGGAACAACATTTTGTGAAACTTTCGTTGATACGAGGTACAGTACAGTCATTTGATCAATATCGGTGACTCAGCGATCGGTAAAGCTACTAAGGGAGGTCGTCACACTTACTCATCGTTGATATTGAGGCCGTACTGCTGGATGAAGTCAGTTGCCTCTGCAGCGTTGCGGAACATTAACATCCGAACTACGTCCTCCAGTGGAAACGCAGTTGATCGTGGACCCACGGTGTGAGCCAAGTTCAACGTCTTCAAGGCCTTCGCTCTGACCTGCATTCACACACACACACACGTTGGAAAGAACATAAATATAAACACAGAATACTTTCTGGACATTATTTGCATCTGCTACTTTAAAACCAGCACTTATCGCGGCTGTGTTTTTTTTGCTGCTAGTGTTTGTTATTTTTCTTTTCTCTCTCTTCTTCTTTATTTTATATTATTTTTATTTCATACTGTCTTTATACTGTTTTTT